ATCTGATGATCACGGATGTCTGATAGTGTTTAAATTTTAGTTTTTTTTTTCTACAAATTCAAATCACTTGAAATTTTAGGCGTGCGTTCATAAAAAATAGGTGAATCTTTAAAAAATATCAAAAAAATATTTTACATGAAATAAATTGATCAAAATACCCTTGAAATGTTTTGGGAGACATTTTAGTCAATTTTTTTCTCAAATAATTTTTTATTTTTATTTTTATTAGGTGCGCTTTGATGAGAAGAACACACACCTAAAATTTTAAGTGATTTGGACTTACAGAAAAAAAAAAAAATTTAAGTACTACCGGACATCTGTGATTATTAGATCGGCTCAGATTTAATATGGGCTGTTGGGCTCATATGTTCATATGAGCCAGTGGGCTAATCCCATCTTTTCCTATATATATATATATACCCGTTTCCATATCCAAGAGGACTCCCCATCCAAATATGAAAACCTTTATCAATGGTTCAAACTTCCTAAAATTGGTACCTATCCCCTACTCAAATTCACGAGAGAGAACGAAAGATTTTAGTAGGGGAGATTTTGAGGAGAGATAGAGAGAGTATGTGCAAGAGAGAAGAAGGGGAAGAAAAAGAAAGCTTAGAAAGGGAGAGATGAGAGTAGAAAAAGATCTCCTAATGCAAGATTTTAAGAAGTCAATATTTTAATAGGATTTATTTTAGAGAATATGCACAAGAGAGATACTAAGAGATTTTGAGAAGGAGAGGGAGTACAAGTAAGAAAGAAAATGAAAAGTTTTGAGGAGAAAGAGAGTACGTGCAAGAGAGAGAAAGAGTATTGTAATAGAAGTCTTTCAACCTCTCAAAATAGTTTCATGTGCCCCTCTCAACCTCTCAACAAGGTATGCTTCGTCTCTCTCTGTTTATGGATGAGTTTTATAAATTTATTGATTTATGGTAAATCTATTGATTTATGATTTTTAGTTTGTTATTTGAATTAAGGAAGTTATAACTTTTTAGTTTTTTAATCAATGTTTCGACCATTTGAAGTGAGAAGTTGAGTTAAAATATATGTTAGGAATTTTGATAGTTTTTGCATACTTTCTATGTTATTCTTTTGGTTTTTTATAATGAAATTTTGGATAAAAGAATCTTAAGATTTTGTTCATGGATAAATTAAGATACCCATCTAATTTTTTTGGGCATCGGCTTTATATGTAGGCCGATGTGTTTTGTTTTAATATAATGTTGAGGTCCGTAGAATGTTTAGAGCTATTAGCTTAGGTGATGGTGCTAATAATTTAGGTGTTAGGCTATTTTTGTATATTTATATTTAATTTTAAATTGAAATATTTGGAAATTTATTTATGTAATTAAAACATTTTTTTAAATCTTTCCCAGTTTACAATTTTAGATAGGTGGGGTTTGTATGGAGCTCAGGCTCTAAACAATGAAGAGCCTACCTTCAAATCATGTCGAGAAATGTAGTTTCAATACTTGAAATTTTTGTGATAGCCTTAAAATATATTTTTATTTTTATTTATAAAGTTTAAAGCTTCAAAATTAGTGTTGAATCTATGAAAATTTGAAAAACTTGAAAATTGACGATAAAAAAAATACCTAACAAAAATAAATTATTTTTGAACCTTAAAATCTATTTTCTTCTCATGGCTATATATCTTGATGTGGAGATGATCAATTTGAAGATATTTGGATACCCAAAATACCTCTTTTAATGAAATTTGTCAGATAGGCTCAAATTTGATTGTTTAGAGCCTCAATATAAACTTTTCCCTTTTAGATTTCTCATAACATAGGCGGTTTAGCACATCGAAACCGGCTGCTGCGGTGCTCTATATCTCTCTTTCTAATAAATAAATAAATAAAGAAAGAAAAGCAGGGAAACATTGCTAGAAACCTCCATCCTTGGTGATCCTTAGGTAACCATAATTCTTCTGTGTGCTTATTTTATTTTCTCTTTGTTTGCTAACCATGAGGAGGCCGAATTTCTACCCCATTACCATCACAATTCAAAAGTACCCAAAAAACCCATATTCCCATTTGGCCCCTCATGCGTTATCTCCAAAACCCCTCCAAAATTTTGAATCCGAAAAATTCTTCAACGACTATATTTGCATGTTGTGCCATCAAGGGAGGCCTAAAGAAGCACTCCAAGCGTTCCAGTCGCATAAAAGTGCAAGTTTTGAGGTGAGTGCAAGTACCTATGCCCATTTATTCCAAGCATGTTCCAGTTTGAGATCATTAGAACAAGGAAAAACGATCCACAAACATTTGTTAAACTCAAATTCACGACCAGACATTGTGCTCCAAAACCATATTCTTAATATGTATGGAAAATGTGGGGATTTACAGATTGCACGACGCGTGTTTGAAGAAATGCCTCAAAGAAATTTGGTTTCTTGGACATCGATAATTGCAGGATATACACAACACCATCTAGAGAGAGAAGCACTTGAATTGTATTTGTGGATGCTTCGTGCCGGATTTAGGCCTGATCAATTCACATTTGCCAGTGCCGTGAGGGCTTGCTCAGGTTTGAATGCTGTAGAGTTAGGGAGACAAATGCATTGTCATTTGCTCAAGAGCGAGTTTGGGTATGACCCATTTTCTCAAAATTCCCTTATCGCTATGTATGCTAAATTCTCTATGATAGTCGAAGCATATACTGTTTTTGATCGGACTGTAAATAAAGATTTAGTCTCATGGAGTACTATGATTGCAGGGCTTGCACAGCAACGGTTTGAATTCAAAGCGATTCTGCTCTTTCGAGATATGCATCTTGTGGGTGTCTCTGCTAATGAATTCGTATTTGGGAGTATTTTCATGGCTTGTAGTTGCATTTCCTTTCTAGATCAAGGAAGACAAATCCATGGGCTATGTTTGAAATATGGTTTTGGGGTGAATGCTTTTGTGGGTTGTTCTCTAAGCTCCTTGTATGCAAAATGTGGAAGCTTGGGTTGTGCAGAAAAGGTGTTCTATCAGATTAGGAATCCTGATTTAGCATCATGGAATGCTATGTTAGTAGGATATGCCCAGGGTGGTGGTATCAATGAAGCCATAATGTTCTTTTCTCAGATGCGCCATCATGGCATGAGGCCTGATGAGATCTCTGTCCGTTGCTTGCTTGGTGGATGCATGGATGCCATGGCTCTATTCCAAGGCCAACAAATTCATACTTTCATCATCAAGATGAATTTCAGTAAAGATATATCAGTGTGTAATACCTTGCTTACCATGTATACCAATTGCTCAAGCCTCTCTGGTGCTTCCCTTGTCTTCGAGAGCATGATTTTGCGTGATTTAGTTTCATGGAATGCTATGATTGCAGCATATTTAAAGCATGACCATGGACCTGAAGTTCTGAGATTGTTAAGGCTCTTGCATAGTGCTGGAATGAAGCCTGATCAGTTTACCATGGGAAGTGGTATTGGTGCTTGTGCTGATTTAGCAGCTCTTGAACCAGGGAACCAAATCCATGGCTATGTGAATAAGATTGGGCTTGGATCCGACCTCTCCATATCAAATGCCCTGATTGACTTGTATTCCAAATGTGGGAGCCTTGAAGATGCTCACAAAGTGTTTACATGGATGAGTGATCCTGATGTGGTTTCATGGAGTAGTCTTGTAGTGGGGTATGCCCAATATGGGTATGGAGAGGAGGCTCTTCATCTCTTTAGTAAAATGCAAGACTTGGGTATCAAGCCAAATCATATAACCCTAGTTGGGGTTCTCTCGGCATGTAGTCGTATTGGTCTTATAGATGTGGGTGCACATGTATTTAGAAACATGGAGAGAGACCATGGCATTGTGCCTACCAGGGAGCACTATGCTTGCATGGTGGACTTGTTTGGCCGTGCTGGCCACCTTAAAGAGGCTGAGGATTTTATTTCTCGGATGCCTTTTGAACCTGACCCTATTGTGTGGAAAACTCTGCTTGCAGCTTGTAGAACCCATGGGAACTTGGAGCTTGGAAAGAGAGCAGCAGAAAATATATTGAATTTAGACCCTTCTAATTCTTCGGCTTTTGTACTCCTCTCAAACATGTATGCTCGATCTAACTCTTGGGAAGAAGTGGCGAGGCTTCGAAAGTTGATGAAAAGCCGAGGTGTAAGGAAAGACCCGGGTTTAAGTTGGATAAAAGTCAAGGACAAAGTGCATGTATTTGTATCAGAAGATGGAAATCACCCCCAAATGGAAGATGTGTATGTGGTGTCCTTAGAGTTGAGCTTGCACATGAGGGAGGCTGGTTATGCACCGGACTTGGGTTTTGCATTAGATAATCCATAGCATGGCTAGAATGTCTTCAAATAGTTGAATCTTCTCTCGTTATGAGTTTTTCACTCCACAGCGTCTTCTGCATGCCCCCGCAAGAAAACATTGGCAATTCTCCTGGCCACAATATGCTCAATGGTGTGTTCCCCAACTGTTCTGTTGAGTCTAATGTATTTGCTAAATATTGACTATTGCTGTTTCAATAATTACAAGAACAAATACCCGTATCTAAAGTTCTTGCCTCTAGACTTAAGCCAGTTCTAGACTCGGTCATTTCCCCCACCCAAGGAGCTTTCATCAAGGGCTGGCAGATTTTAGACGGGGCACTAATCGCCCATGAGTGCATCCACTCTCGATCCATTCAAATATCCCAGGACTCGTCATTAAAATAAATTGGGAGAAAGCCTATGACCATGTCGATTGATCAATGAAACCCTTAGAAGGATGGCCTTTGGACCAAAGTGGAGAAGCTGGATTAGAGGGTGCATCTCCAACGCTGTTTTCTCAGTCCTCTTAAATGGGACCCCTAAAGACTTCTTCTCAACTAGCAGAGGTCTCCGCCAGGGCGACTCTATGTCGCCGTTCTTGTTTGCTATCATGGATGAGGCCTTCAGCACCTCTATCTCGAGGCTCTACCAAGCAGGCCTCTTGCCAGGATTCCAATCAAGCAGTCGCGGTCCTCTCGTATCCCACAATCATTTGGGTGCCAACAGCATCAGGAATTTTGTCGGTGTCCTCCTTTTTTCAAACCCTCATCTTCAATCCCAACCTTGTTGGTCCCAGCCCTACTTTATCCTCCAAAGCTTGGAATCCCCTATTACCACCAAGGATTCACGTGTTGTGCTGGATAGCGCTCCATGAGAGAGTGCTGACTGTAGATCTTCTTCAAAGAAGAGGATTGCCATGTCCCAATAGATGCATCTTGTGCATGGAGGCTGAAGAGTTCAATGCCCACCTTTTCCTCCATTGCGAGTTCGCTAGAGCCTTATGGATCTATCTTCTATGCTTCTTCCAGTGGGCATGGGTCACTCCAAGTTCCATCCCACATTTATTTTAGGCCATCCTCTACACTCCCTGGCCCAAGGTAGGAAGAGAACTTTGAAAAGCCTCTGTTTCAGCTACCATCTGGGTTTTATGGTTGGAAAGGAATCACAGAACTTTCAAGGGAGAGAGATTCACGGTCGCGGTGTGGGCTGAGAAAGAAACTTAACCACAAGCTCTTCAAGGATTTCTCCTTCACTGATTTTTATAGCAATTGGCACAATTTGCTACACGTGGTCAATCCCAAGATCTCGCGGGCATCACTTTGGAGACCACCATAACCAACTTTGATGGTTGCTCCCTTGGCAATCTTGGACCATCCGGAGTCGGCGGTCTATTCGTTTGAGTAATGGACACACCTTGTTAGCCTATTCCTGCCCTATTGGTTTCGGGGATTCCATTCTTGCCGAAGCCCTTGCCCTCATGGAAGGCCTTCACAGATTTGACCACACTTAAAGGTCCAACCTGGTGGTGGAAGGGGATTCCAAGAATGTCATCTCTTGGGCATCTAATCTCTCTTCTTGGTTGCGGCTTCTAGACAACATTTTTGATGGGATTTCCCATTTATCCAGGGGTTTAACAATCTCATGGTGCCATGTTTCAGAGAAGCTAACTCTGATGTTGATCGATTGGCTAGGGAGGGGGCATATCCTAACTCCCCGTTGGGGCTTTAGACTTTTGTGGCCACCCTTTTCTTTCCCCACTTCCTTCAAGTTGTAACACTCTTATTGTAAAGCATTTTTTGGACCCTACGGGGCTGTATAGGGTGCCCATTCTGGTTACCTAATATTTTGTATTCTCTATTAATCAGTAGTACAATTATAGTCGATCTTTCCTCAGAAAAAGAAAAAACAAATACACGTATCTATCTATGATTTCATCTAGGCATGATGCTTAGTTTTTGTTTCATGAAGTTTAATTGCTATCTGATTAGATTTGCTATACCTGTCTTGTTCATTGTAGATATTCTATGCTTTGGGGCACTTCTTTGGCATGAGGTTATTCGAGTGGAAGGGTTTCCTTAATGACTGGAAGAAACTCCCATTTTGGTGATGGGGTTGAGCCGGTGAGGTAATGTTACATACTAGCAAGGCGATGATCACAATTTCCACTCATGGTAAAAGCATATCTTATCTGTTACTTATTTCTATGTTTAAATTTTTGCTTATGAAAAAGATACCTATTCGTTAGTGTATGAAATTCGCATATAAAAGGAAGCAAAGGTAAGAGAAGGAACATATCTATTGGTTCCTTCGCAAAATATGTGCATGAAACCAATCTCAGTTGTTATGTCATATGCGGGGGTCATAGTAGGTGATCTTGGTTGAATGCACCTGGACAAATTTCAGTGAAATGCAGTGCAATGGAACTACAAAAGTGCAAAATTCATATTAACTGTAAGAAATGAAAATCCTCCCCGTGACTTAAGTGAGTGTTAGTATATTTTTATTGGTAACTTCTGTATCTCAGCACTTCACACAAAGCTCTCATGGGTATGAAGAAATTCCATGGTGAACAATGACCACAATAAAAGGAAATGATGGTTTCATGTAATGCTTTCAAGGGCCACCCTCCCTCTCATACTAAGACAACCAAAAAGGCATGATCTCCCTGCACGCTTTCTATTTTGTTAAGAAATATATGTAAATGGAAGCCTACGAACTTCTCTCGGGAAAATTATAGATATATGGAAAATTTATATATAGACTAACGAAGTTTTTTTTTGGTAATTCAGTGGGGAAGACAACCCCTATTTGTTTTTTCAATAGATTAGAGAGTTACATTTTGAAGGTGTTAATTGGAGGTGTTAGCAGTAGGAATCGATACCACGATGTGGTAACTGGTGTGGGGATGCTACCACTACGATCTTAGCCCCTTTCCTAAAAGTGGTAAAGTTAGCGTTACCTTTTGGTGAGAATGGAGTCAGAGACCTCGTCATGAGACTCGGAAATACTACCGCCAAGACTTAAAGCCATTCTCATATATACCACGAAGTTTACTCAATGGTTGCACACATGAAAGATGCAAATGTCAGAAAACTTACACAAAAAATCCATTATTATTCCTACTTAAGTATATTTCATAGTCCCAAAAAATATACCGAGTAGCCTATAACCAATTGAAAATTTGTAAATTGATTGGTCTAGATAAACAGTTACAAAATACTTTTCAAAATTTTCTTTTCACACACATACATCTCGAGTTCAAGACGATCAAATTTAACGATTTTTTTAGCAGCAGAACAACTTTTTCTAATAAATTTTTGAAATGGAACCTATTACAATAATATAAAATTGGTAGCTTATATAAACAAATAAAATTGACACCTTATATATCAGAAAAATATAGAAAAAAAGCCCAAGCCGTCCAATTTAATATCTAATAGTCAGTAGCAATTATGACATCTTTAACAATGATAAATGGTCTTATTGTATACATCCTTTTTCATCATCATCATAGCCCTTTTTCAACTATTTGGAGTCGGCTATACGAATCTTGGTCTCATTTTTTCTTTATCAAGGGCCAAACTTTCAGTAAGGTCATAAGTCTTCGTATTTTTTTTCAATACTTTCAAATATATCATTTTGGGCCTCACTCTTATCTTTTTTTAACTTTACACATGAACTAATCCGCATCTCCTTACAGGTGTTGTACTTGGTCTACATTGCACATGGCTAGCCTACCTAAGTTTGCTATCTCATTTTATCGCCTATTTCATGAATGTATTCATTTCAAATTCTATCATTTTTTGTCTTGTCACTCATCCATCTCAACATCCTCATATTAGTTATACTCATTCTAGAGGTATGTTATTTCTTGATCGCCCAACATGCTGCCCCATAAAGCAAAATTGGTTTCACAATTGTCCTATAAAACTTGCCCTTCAGCTTATATGTGGTAATAATATAAAACTTTGATTGTACATTTCTACTTCGCCCACCCAGCTCTATTTTATGTGTGACACATTTCTCAATCATTTTGATTTTCTTGAATTATAGATCCAAGATATCGAAAGTGTGATTTTTTTGGTATTTTTTGACCGTCAATTTTAACTACTTCATTGTTTGTACTCTTATTATTATTAAATTTGCATTCCATCTACTCTTTCTTGATCCTGTTCATTTTAAAACCTTTTTCTAGAGCATCCCTTTAAAGTTCTAATTTTGTGTTGATGCCAATGGTTTAAAAAGCGGATCGGTGACCCGGATCGGGCACCTCAAAAACCCATTCGGATCGGTGAATCGGCGATCCAGATCGGGAATCGACTAAATTGGTCCGATTAAGCCTTATAAAAAATCCGAAAAAATTATTAAAATTCATTATAAATGTTGTTTTTAGGAATTCAATAAGAAATGGGGGTACTCCATTAAGAATTTTCATTTTTTTGCATGAATATGCGAATATTGATATGTTCTTTCCCCCCA